GATTCTACTCAAATCGATCATCAAGTATGTTTATAATGACACAAAAACCGGTAAAAGCCACACATTCTACTTAACGAGAACGCTTGCGCAACGTAATGTGACAAAAAAATACACATTGAAATCATCATTACGTCAATTTATCCGACTACAAAAGTAGATTCACAATTCCAGTATTGGCAATGAAGTCTTAATAATAATAACTTTTTAAACATAATATTAATACGTATTTTATTAAAAGGCTTGTTTATCGAAGCGACTCTAAAAATTTGATTAAGACTGTAAACTAAAAAATATAATTGAGACTTTAAAACTTCGATTGCGATGACCCAAATCCTTTGTCATATTAAATATTAATAGATTATAGAGAAGTGGTGGCCTAGTGGCTTCAGCGTGCGACTCTCACCCCTGAGGTCGTAGGTTCGATCCCTGGCTGTGCACCAATGGACTTTCTTTCTATGTGCGCATTGAAGAGTCGCTCCAACGGTAAAGGAGAACATCGTGAGGAAACCGTCTTGCCTTAGACCCAAAAAGAGACCCCTCACTATTTGAAAACAAATTTCCTTTGGTTTTTTTTTTTTTGATAAATTGTTTTTTATCTCTTCCTGTTTGTTACGTTTGCCTATAAGTGCTTGTCACATTAAATATTGTATTTTTTTTTATCACCAATGTATCAGTATGCCGAGCGTGGACACGTTATTAAAAACAAATAAATAAAAGATTTTAAAGTAGTTACGTAAATAACTAAACCGCGGAAATCGTATAAATATACGCGACAAACATAATTTTCGATGTGATTAATGTGCGTAATAACACTCGTTATATATATTACTGACTATCACTTTCCATTACTCACGTAATAAACAAAAAGTATTTCATATTATTTATGAACTAAAATATACAATTTTATATTAAATAACCTTTTCTAAACCTAGGGGTTCAGCTCAGGTCTTTGTTCAAAATACGTTTCCTTGATATATATAAAGACACAGCAAAGTCTTGATCTTAAGATGGGTTCCTCACGTTTTCCTTCGCTATATCACATACTAAAATAACCCTAAACACGTCACGACATAGCCGGGGTTTGAACGTACGACCTCGCTCGTCGCTCACCTTGTTTAAAACGACTTAAACCATCCTTTTTAAGGGTTTTGATAGGCCTCTAGACTTGAACACATCAGAAGTATGGTCTTCTCTCTTTCTGTCTTCACTTTTTAAATTAATCTTTTAAAAGCTGTACTCGTCGCAATACTCGTCGAGCGAGTTTGCTGATCTTGCCGAAGCCGCGTAACAATAATTTAAAAAAGTCTATTAAGTATGAGGGTGTGCAATTATTTAATCAATTGCCGTCTAAAATTCGCAATATTAGCGCGTTTAACCAATTCAAAAGGGCATTAAAGATGCATATCAAAACGAGCTTAGTAGACTAAAATTGGGACGGCTGATGTCGACGTGTATCTCGTTCGTATATACATATTAAGTTTCTCATGTAAATAGAATACATTCTTTTTTGTAATGAGAAATAAAGTTTTTTATACATTATGTTCTATGTATTACATTAGGGTTATGCAGTTGAGGCAATTGTTTTACGATAACAGGCCACTTCTGACCAGTTTTTTGGTCTACTTATTAAATAGAAATTTTGACGCCAATGCTTTTTTTTTAAATATAGTTAACATACATTATAGAAAAAGAAAGAAATATATAATTTTATTATTCTTAAGGCGGCCCCGTCCGGAAGCCAACCACCAACTTTATCTTATTATTTAATCTTTTGCCGTCATCATAACATTGTTGCCAGAAATATTAGGTCCTTACATATGAAATTGGCGTATTTCGTACTGGCCACTTTAATCACGATGTTCTCCTCTTTGGTAAGGAATTCCAAATTCAAATTTGTACAGCTATTTACTCATGTATTTGTGCTTCGATGACCGTCAATCATTTGTTTTTTTCTTCTGTTTTTTTCTGTTTGCGTCACTCATTTTACAAAATGGAAAACTTAAAGTATCGCATTATTTACGAGTACGAGTTCCGCCGTGGCACTAGTGCTGCGGAAACGACTCGAAGGGTGAATGATGTGTATGGCGGTCATGTTGCAAAAGAAAACACAGTTCGTTTTTGGTTCCAACGTTTTCGTTCTGGAAATTTCGACCTGCAGAATAAGCCCTGTGGACGGCCTGAGACCCAAGTTGATAATGAAGTATTGAAGGCTATTGTGGAAGCGGATCCATCGCAAACCACGTCCGAGTTAGCTGCAGGCTACGGTGTTAGTGATAAAACTGTTTTAATTCACCTGAAGCAAATTGGGAAGATTAAAAAGCTTGAAAGATGGGTACCTCACCAATTGACTGAAGCAAACCGGCAAACGCGCGTCGACTTCTGCGTTACATTACTGAACCGGCACCATAATGAAGGTATTTTAAACCGAATCATTACCTGTGATGAAAAATGGATTCTTTACGATAATCGGAAGCGCTCAGCGCAATGGTTGGATCCTGGCCAGCCAGCCAAATCCTGCCCCAAGCGAAAATTAACCCCAAAAAAGTTACTTGTAAGCGTTTGGTGGACTAGTGCCGGTATTGTTCATTGCAGTTTTCTCAAATCTGGCCAGACTATTATGGCTGATGTCTATTGTCAGCAATTGCAAACCATGATGGAAAAGCTAGAGGCTAAACAACCTAGGCTGGTAAATCGCTCCACGCCACTGCTACTTCACGACAACGCTAGACCACACACTGCACCACCGACGGCTACCAAATTAGAAGAGCTTCAATTGGAATGTCTAAGACATCCTCCGTACTCCCCGGACCTTGCTCCAACAGATTACCATTTTTTTCGAAATTGTTGTCCAACTTCTTGCAAGGGAAAAAATTTAACTCTGATGGGGCAGTCCAAATCGCCTTCACAGATTTTATTGATTCCCGTCCGACTGGTTTTTTTAGTAAAGGGATCAATGAACTACCTATGAGATGGCAAAAGTGCATAGAAAACAATGGTTCATACTTTAATTAATTAAATATATTATATTTAAAAATATTCGACTTTTTGTTCCTCCCATACAAAACGCCAATTTCATATGTAAGGACCTAATATATATGATATCGTAATAATACTAGGCAACCCAATTAAGCAAAAACTACAGAGCATTCACAATAATTCACAAATCGTTTAAAAATACTTTCTTCCGAGATAACTTATCACATCCACGTTGATCAGTGTATTGTGAAACGGAATGTTTGACGCGTCGTCTCCCATGCGGAATGCTCATAGACAACATATGGAAATGATGTTTTTATTTTAATGCTGTTTTGCGAGTTTCTTATAAGATATTTTAGTTTAATTATAAAAAGGTTTAGGCTTTATGTTTTCTTATTTTGTTTATATTATGTGATTAGTTGAATATTTATATTAATAAGTTTTCTATTGTATTAGTATTAAGCTACCGTAAAATTAGAAAATAAACAAATAAATGTTAGACAATTATACTTAATAGCAATATGCAGACTTTTTTAAAAACAAACGCCCGCCACACCACATCACCATCAAGAACAACGCAACTCTATATATAAGCAACCCAAAAAACGCACTTTGTTCGAATTAACGCTTTTTCTCCTTCCGAGGCCCTTTCATCTTTAACCACTTCCTTAAAAACAAAATTATCACTAACATTTCAAACATCACATTACATAAATTTACTAAAGATCTCAAACAAATATCTTGTTAACCTGTCCTATGCTGATACTGAAAATAGTTTAAATATAAATGTGTCATGTAGAAATCATTAAGTAAAACGGTTTACATGTCAAAAGGCCTACAACAGGGAATCCTAGTATGGGGGCCAGTGCACTTTACTTTACGTAAATATCCCGTATATTGTGTATAATAAAGTTTTTCTTTTCTGTATTCTTTAAATATTTTATATTTTTTGGATGATGATCATTAGCAGATAATAAATTTTATGTTTCTACCAATGACTAGAACCATACAGTATATTTGTGCAATTTTTTTAGTTAAAAATTTACGAATAATAGCAAATCAGACAGACGCATTCCCCAGAGACATCCCTGTATTGTGGGTGACCAAACACTATTCCGTGCTTCATATAATAAGGTGGCACAATAGAAAACAGTTAATATTTATTTTAAATTTTGCTATAAATGTATTTTTAGTGTTTTTATTACTAAATATTTGTCTTGAAGCTCTTTTAGGCGAATACTAAACCGCCAAATATGAAAGCAAAAGTTTATTTAGTGTTTAAAGTACTTGGTTTTTAGTGTTTATACACTATAACTAATGTCTGCTAAACAGTTAAAGACTTTCTAATGCAATCAATAAATAAAATAAAAGTTACGTAAGAATCACACATTTAACTTAATAAAAAAAACTGCAGTACGATTAAAACACCCATATAGTATATTTAATTTAGTCATGTAATTAAGATTTTGCTTTTAAAGTGTCTCCAGTCTATTGAAGTTCTTAAAGTCCATAATTTTTTAAATAAGACTTTTAAAGAACCTAGTGTTTATATATAATAAGTCTAATTAAAAAAAGAGTATAAAAGTATTGTAAAATCGTTTGCCCAAAACCTTATTTAAAATCCTAAATTTCCAAATAAATGCATTGATTCATTTAAAAAACCTGCGTTACACAGTTACCATAACGCATACGGTAAGTTGAATTGTTAATCAAATACAGCCTTATTGTTCTTATTCTAAAACCTATTGATTACAAAAGAAAACCAACTCTAAACAATTACATAGCTGCGCGGGCGCAGGTCCGCCACTCAAACGCATCGGTTAGCCGCGTGCGAACGCATACACTTTCACGCTCGAATAAAATAAAAAAGGGGGAAAACGCGCGCGAGAAATCTCGAATTTTTCCCTACTAATCAGTCGGTTAACAGCCTGCAACAAGTTTACATAAACAATTGATAAGTGTACGACAATTTTCTTTTCTTTCTTCTATCCTTCTTTCCTTAGTGGTTTGTGCAGTGTTGGAATATGGGTAGAACCGCAATGACGCTACTAAGTACGTTGGCTGCGTTGGTTATTATCGTGCATACTGCTGAAGAGGAGTATGAGAGGAGTCAGAGGGGGCTGAGAGCCAGGTCCATGGATGTTGGATCATCTGGATATGAGCAGGTAAAAGCTACTTTTTTGGTTTTGTATTTCAAAAGCTTTACCATGAATTTTAAGTAACATCAGTGCTTGTTGTATCAACAAACATTTGTTTCATAAATATAGTTGCTAATTCCAAGGAATTCAATAGCAACAGTCTTTCCACTAATGTTTAGATGTATGATTAATATAACAATAATGTCAAATTTGTCGACTTTTAATTATTTTTGTTTGTATTATTTTATAAATTATCTATTTTATTAGGTAAGAAAATACTTCACACTTACAAATTTACATAATAATAATTTACCTTTTTAAAAAGACAATCATCCATTGCTGTAGCAAAGATACTATCTTCTTAATTCCGTATATTGTTAATTTGGTAAAGTTTACCAAATTTACATGAAATATATTAGGTATATTATATTTGTATCTGTGACCCGTTTTAACAACCTGAATAGACTATCCAAGGTAAATAATTTTTAATCCGAACCGTTCGATTCAAACTGTTTTTTAAAAATATATTTAAAAAATCGTGTAATTTTGATGAGTATCAAACCAAATGGACATATAAACAATATACATCATTCTGCAAACGAAAAGAAAGTATTATAAATATTCATATCGGAAGTTTCGATAACGCAAGCATTTTTTAAAGAACTTATAAACCTGTAAGATCGTTTACGTAGTGAATACATGAATGAAATAGAAACATATCCATACAAATTAACATAGTCATATTGGTTGCCTGGAAGAGATCGCTGGAAAGCGATAAGGCCGCCAGTTGTCCTCTTTTTCATTGAATTACGTCAACTGTATTATTTCTGCAACGGAGTGTTAATAAATAAGGAATTATTTAGTTTTAATAATAAAGATTTAATATGATATTAAAACTACATAATTCCTGAATTACGAACCCTTCCGTCTATTTCTGTCAAATTGTATGTAAGCCAAGAGAAAGATTCTTAGTTCAAACGGTGCAATTAGAATTTATTCTTTATCAATAAGGGGAATAATTTATTCTAAATGATATTCTGAAATCTAACTTTTTAAAGTAATTAAGAAAACCTACTTTAAATCTAGTTTGAACTGTATAATGTTGAATGAGTATGATGTTTTTAGTAAGTATATGTCCATACATATATTTTCGTTACGGATTTGGTACAGGTAAAACAAAGTGCAAGAAGTAGTGTTGGCCTAGTGGCTTCACCGTGCGACTCTCATCCCTGTGATCGATCGTACCCGGCTGTGCACAAATGGACTTTCTGTCTATGTGCGCATTTCACGCTCGCTGATACGATGAAGGAAACGTGAAGGGTGTGTCAGGCACAGGAGTTTGATCACCTACTTGCCTATTAGATTGACAAATGATCATGAAGCAGATACAGAAATCTGAGACCTAAAAAGTTGTAGCGCCACTGTTAATTAATGTACGTCAAAGCCTACCCAACCCCACTCCACCATCCACGATTGCCTTGTATATCTCACTTGTTAACCACTTCCTACTCATTCATAAACCATATACTTACATACCACCAATTCATACCTAAATAGCCAAATCACCAAAGCTTTTGTATCTTCGTCACTACGTCTTTTTTTAAACTACTGTTCATTTTTATTGATTAATTAAATAAACGGAACTCAAACTAACAGCAGGCTACAACTGGAGAAGAGTCGCAAAGGATAGAAAACAATATAAAGGGTTAGAGGAGGCCCTTGACCAAGAGGCACACCGAACTCCGAGGTATACTGTAGTGAAAACATATTAAAGATCACAAGACAAAGTTTCAGAATATAAAGCCTATATTATTATTGTTACAATAAACGGAAACCAATCGGAAGTAAACGCAAATCAATGAAATCTAAACTTTTCCAAACTCATAAAATACTGTTTCGATTAAACGGAATTAAAAACCGTCGCTTTACGTTGAAATATTTAATAAATAAAATCCTTTTTTATTCAGCCTAATCAGTGAAATAATTTTTAAAATCGATCCAGTAGTTTTCCAGTTATTCGTTACAAAAATACAAAACTTTATATTATAATTATAGAAATCTTTAATCGTACGGTTTTTCAAGCTTACCAAAGTTGATTAAGGCATATAATTGCAAATCAGTGTTTTCTATTTACGTAACTCAACTGTAAACAACTGATTTGAACTTACTTAGTGTCGAATTTTATTAATGAAAAAGGTTTTCTACGTTTGAACAGTTTCAATTTGATGAATTTTATCAAAGTAGCAACGTTAAACGTATGATGTAACCACAATTTAGGTGTTTAACTAATTGTTATGTACACAATTAATTAATAAATTTAGAAAACGCTTTAGCAAGATGGAATTTGCGTTAGTAGCTATTTATAATCTGTGCAAATGTTTATTTTGACGCACAAACTGATTAATAAATCAATGTTTTTTGAAGATATTCATTCATTTGTAATTCCTGTAACACACACTTCCTGTTTTCATGCGCCTTTTAAAATTGTAATTGTTTTGTCTTTTGGGTATGTATTATATTGCTGTTTACATTTTCGTGCCTATTATTTTATTTTTAGTTGTGGTCCTCATACTTTTTTGTAGCAAAAACATAACATATTTTTTACATATCTTGTATTTGTGATGTATCATGTTTTCTTATTGATAAATAGATAAAGAACTATTTGTGTAAATAATTGCAAGTGCTATTTAAATTCATCAATATTTTTATTAATTTTAGCAATGATTGCATGTTCACTACAAAGGCATCAGCGTTATAATAAATCGAGATTATGCAGCGAAACATTACTCGAGAAAGTTCAGCCGTTCTTTGAAAGTTAAATTGATTTCGTTATTCTGACGATATTATTTATAAACATTTATTTGAGAATTAAAGCGAAGTAAAAAGATTACCTAACATAGAATTTTTTTGTATCGTATCTGTAGTAGTTAATGTGGTAACAAAATATTATGGACGTTTTGTACTTTTGAAAGTGATTTTAATGATCATTGATTTTCAAAGTTCCGAATGTTTTTATGTGGAATGTGGATATTTTGTACAATGTCATGGTTTGTAGTTGAGCATTTGTATCTATAAAAAAATATAGATAGACATAGAATCAGGGGCCAGAATTTTTATCTGTCACTTTTTACTCCAGAGACGAAATTATTTAGTTTAATAAGTTTTTATTTATATTTCTGTAAACGATATTATATGTTGGATATTATATAAACAATCTTCTGATGCTGCTGCTGAAATGCTGTTACTTCTAGTAAAAGATTGAAATGGAAATGGACAGAACACATTATCAGAGAAGGACTCGCTATGACAAAAGAAAACGAGGAAGACAAATAAAAAGATGGAATATGATGTGCGAAGAGTAGCTGGCCCTATGTGGCTACGTAAAGCTAGAATCAGAGAAGAGTGGAAGCCCTTAGAGGAGGCCTATGTCCGAGGACAAGCTGTGGAACAGAAACCAACCAACCGGCTTGCCAATTAATTATTAGTATTTATCGAGTTAATTTTTTGTATTTCACATTTGTATGTACTAGTAGGTATAAGTAATAACAGTAATAAAGGCTTTTATTATTATTATATAAACAATCCAAATATACAGTCCGAACTTCAAGTTAACGTTAAACAAACTAAAATATTGTACCTCAACAGCTTCTATAATTCGTACGGAACTTATCGACTCGACTTACATAGTATTACGTATAATTATCATAAACTCGCAAGCTCGCGCCAAACTGGTCGAGCCACTTTCAACTTTCGTAATACATGTTAAATATGTTTTATAACGGATTTCTTCGATGAGATAATAACATCAAATTTTAGCGTGTTTATCATAACTTCCGGAGCGTCTCTATTCGACAATATTCTTTATTTCAGTCAATTAATATACAAACATAATACACCTTATTCATACTAATTGGCATGTTGTACAACGTAATTATTATTTATAACTTTGATTGTCTTCAGCTGAAACTTAGCTTAATTTTTTACTATATGACTTCACTGAGACATCATGGAACATTGCGATCCAGCCTAACTTAATACTAAAAAGTAATTTAACCTAGTTTATAAAAAAGGATATTTAACATAACGGATTAAACAGTACTTATCCAGAGCTGGATATTTGGTTGTAGACTAATTATTAAAAAAAAGCATTGTTAATACCTGTCGCATACCTAACTAACCTAACCGCTGTTTTACTGGTATTTTTTTTTGCTTCACAATAAGCAAATTACAAGTATTTTTATTTTATATAAATATATATTTGAGCAGTGTTGGCCTGGTGGCTTCAGCGTGCGACTCACATACCTGAAGTCGTAGCTTCGATTCCCGGCTGTGCACCAATGGACTTTCTTCCTATGTGCGTATTTAACATTTGCTCGAACGGTGAAGGAAAACATCGTGAGGAAACCGACATGTCTTAGACCCAAAAAGTCGATGGCGTGTGTTAGGCACTGGAGGCTGATCACCTACTTGCCTATTAGATTTAAAAATGATCATGAAACAGATTCAGAAATCTGAGGTTAACCTAAAGAGGTTGTAGCGCCATTGATTTATTTATATATCTTAATATATATATTTCTTCTGTGCGTGTGTATGTGACTGAACTCCTCCTAAACGACTGGACCAATTTTGATGAAATTTTTTGTGTGTGTTCAAGGGGATCTGGGAATGGTTTAGATTCACAAATCAGCCCGACAGATGGCGCTGCAGTCGGTACTTTCATACTTTGTTTAATATCTTAATCGGTTGAAATATCATGCAGGACAACGTCTGTGGGGTCCACTAGTATATATGTATATTTATGTTTTTGTAACATTTATTTTTACCAAAATCGTCATATATTTTAGATAAGAAAGCATGTAGCATATACCGTAGATATACTATTATGTATGATGTGGTGAACTTCAATAAAGAAATAAAAACACTACTTAGTGCTTGTTCACGTTGACTCGCGGGCGCGGTGGCGGGCGCGGTCACGAAATATCAAACATATGGCGAAACGCACGTGCGGTCTTAGTACATACTTCTCCGCGCCCGCACCCGCCGCCGCGCCCGCGCCCGCGCTTACAGTGAAGGTACACTCTGTTCTTATGTTAAATTTTGTCACTTACCACTTACACTAACTGTGCACTAACACTAATTCAAATGGATTCAACAAAGTTCTATTACCCTACATGAAGTTTTAGCATAAATAATGTTTTTGTCTACAAAACGGATAAGCAAACAAAACAACATTATTTATTTTGAACATTAGCATACAATGCCCAGAGTATTTGGTGCATGATCTCTCTTAATACTTACATAACATCTATATAAGGTAACTAAATATTTGTCTTTGTCTGTTATGGATCTTGCACAGCATACGTTGGAGAATTGTCTTTGTTCTGTGATGTGACCTTGCTCTGCCTTGTGTTGTACAAAAAATGGTCGCCAGAGACGAGGTATGGAATGCAGTGGAAGTGGAATGCTGTGAGCAAAGCTACAGACAGCAAAACGAGAGAGGGAACGGGAAATACTAGGGTAAGAAGACGCGGAGTAAATAGGAGGAGATATGCCCATTTACCTTCTATGTAGTATATACTGCATTGGAGGTTTTTGAGCGTAACATGCCGATGAGGTCCCGGTAGCGACCCCGGAGCCTCTGTAACGCGGCTTTGTAGGAACTACTCGAGGTAGTTTTAGTGGGTATTGTTCACCTAGTCTCTCAAAACTGTAGGATGGGTCCCACATACCCCTGCAACTTTTGGGGCTTGCGCAAACTTACACAGCCCAAATATGTATTAAAAATCAATTTAGTACTCTTTTTATTATATAATTTCTTTGAATTGTCATGTTTTCTTTTACGCACCAGCTAGCTGTGGAATCGGTATGTGTGTCTTTTGGCTGCTGTCTCTTAAGGTAGACTCGTTTGCCCCACTATTTTATATATGTATATAAATGTTCTGGTGTCTATGACATTAAATTGAGTTGTATTATATAATGCAGATATACTACGTATATATACGTATGTTGTAATGTTTTCATTTAGTTTTTCTTGTGTTAATTGTATTTTTTTAACTCTTGAGTTTAAACGAAATTTAAAATTTGTACTATGTAGCCCTTCGAACTCTAAGGTTGAACCCCTTAGTGCTTTTTGGTGTTAACTGTACTTGTTTATTTATAATATATTAAGCAATAATTAAAAGAAAAAAGAAACTATTCATGGTCATGGTGAACCTCCTGGTTTTATCCACGCTCATTAAATATTCAATATTTTTTCAGACATGGAGAGCGATGGAAGTAGAGCCAATGCTGCCAAACATACCCCAAGGTGATGCTTGGCGGAATGCAGATGCAGAACCTAAACGCAGACGAATGCGGAAACGAAAACGTCGGCCACAAATCGATCAGCCAGACCTTTTAACACAAGAAAGACACATATCCAGCAATATCCAGTCCCGAAACTCTGAATTCGCTGTGGATCCCCCAGAAACAAAGCGACGTCGAAAACATAATCGTAAAAATACATGGAATAATCAGAAAGATTGGGGAGACGAATCTGATGTCGAACGACCAGTCAGAAGACGAGGACATAGACGAAAACGACCTCCCACTATCGATTCTTGGCCAAGATTAAGCGAATTCGACCATTTAAGACCAAGCGAAGCTATAGACGAAGAAAATGTATGGAACAAGGAAACCGAACCCATTCACAACGAAAATGTATGGAACAAGGATAGTGAAGCCATTGACAACGAAGACGATACAAATATAGAACAGGAAAATAAAGAAGATATGGAAGAAAATCACGAGGATACACCAGACATTCCAATAGAAGTGGTTTCTGAAACAAACCCACCAGAAAGCAATGCGCCGATGCTACAGCATGACAAATCTTTATCAGAATTCTCTTTAGAAAGTCTAATCAAGAGTTCAGAGGACGGTTTGTCATTTACAGAAGTAAAAAACAAAAAACCGCAAAGTGAAAGAAATAAAGCACTGATCAAGATAGCTCAGGTATTTTGTTTTACATTATCATTTTAATTCCACATTATTAAATAATGATTTACCATTTGATACACAGGTGATCAGACTTTGCGTTCAGGAGTTTGATTGCTATACTTTGTTGCTCCAAATTAGAATTTAGCTAGAACTTTAGTCTTGAATCGATTAATACATTACAAAAGCCTAATATAGCACTTGCAGCTGTAATTATTTTTCATAATGTTTTAATCTAGTGTTAATTAATCTTCAGAATCGTTTTAATTTGAAAACCAAACGTAAAACGGAAGCGCGGAGGTTAGCTAAGAGTATGGATAAAATAATTCCACTTTGCAAGAAAATATCATTAGAGGAGTATAAACAAAATAAACCTTTATATATCGAAGAAGAATTTAAAACGGTATATTGGTAGTAATTAACAAACTAATTAACAAGTTACAGAAAAAAAACATAATTAATTATTTAGAATAACAAAAATCACAAATCTCATATATTCTACACCGAAGTAACCAAAATAATCAAACTAATATCAATTATCGTTGTTTTCAGTAATATTTGTGTTTTACACACAACACTTGAAAAACAACAGATAATAAATAATATTATGTTTCAGGATAATGAACCGTTGGCGCCATTGACGTTAAAGGCAATATTAAAAAGATCAAACGGGAGAAGTCTTAGTGAAATTTTGCAACAAAACAACTTGTCACTAAGTGATCTATTACAAGGCAGAGTAAACGCATTGTCGTTGCTTAAATCACGTGAAGAAAACAGTGAAAATACAAATCAAGTAGGCGACTTTGATGGTATACCCAAAAATAAAGATGACAGTGACTCAACATTTACACATTCAGAAAGTAAGCAAATAAATGAATATAAGAAAACTAATGATCCCGAACCTGCTACGACAACAACAGCTGAAATAATTTATACCACTGAATCTAAATCCACTACAGAAAACCTAAGTGTTTCGTCTTCGAATGATACCGCTGAGGAAATTACAACTACTCCGAAAACCTATGTTAGACGTAGATTTCCATTTAATCTACGCCGTCGTACGAGACCTGTTAACGGCACATACAAAGGACAATTAAGTCGTGATCTTATGGCTTTAACAACTAGAAAATATCAAAATAATAGAAATATACACAGGTCAAGAGAATGGGTAGAATATATGCCATCGAATACAAAGTCTCGGAAGCTTAAACCTACAATAGAAAATAAACGAAATTCCGAAAATTACGAAACGGAGAGTTCAATATCAATGACAACAGTTTTAGTTGAAGAAACTACTCAACCCACACAAGACCTAGAAGACACTCTACCAACTTCCCCAAATGACTTGGAAATAAACGATTCAAACGCTTTCACACAACATAAAGTAACAGACGCGACTGAATCTGAAGTGTACTCTACCACATTAAATTCAGATGACGTACCTACCACTGTGCCTGTAACGGAGAAGATAGTAACAATTACGCAAAAGCCAAAAATTATTCCACATATAAGGTCTATGCTTAACGCGTCTGAGCTTCGAAGACAAGCCCTCAATAATAGATTGGAGAAGAAACGGTTGCGAGAAAAGAATTTGTCAACTGAATCCCTTGGCCTATTACAAAAAGATGTCTTAAACGCGAACAATATGCAAACATCATCTGAATTTATTGCTAAAACACAACCCAGCACAAGTAACACCGATATCGAAACTGATTTTACTACTTTAGAAGATTTTATGCCCACAGAGGCCGCCAATAGGCATCATAGTCGGATGAGGACCACTAAGTCTCAAAATGTCAGATCATCATTACTGCCTAAAATCCAACCTTATTTAACTGCAACAGAAGAAACAGCGAAATTGGAAATAGAAGAAATATTAAATGACTCTATGAGTAAATATTATCTGTATAATTTAATTTATTAATTTAACCTTGATGATTGAAACAATTAAATTTTTTTTCAGCTCGCGCTAGGCTATCAAGAATACTAAAGGAAAGAAATATGACGTTAAATGAATTAGTGGAGCACAGAGAGCGTGGTTCAAGTCATATACACTTGGCTGACATATTTCACAATGCGTCTAAGGAGCCGAACCCACCAGAGCCTTTCCTATCCAAATCACTCATCGAACCAATATCAAAGGAAACATATCCTTTGATAGCTTTGTTGGAAGCGAATCTTCATGACACTAAGACGAATTTAGAAGAAATGGATGAAACTTCAAATTATATGAATATCCCTGTTGTCATGGACTTCGGTAACAACGTGAATGAGAACGGTGAGAATATGGGTATAATGTCCCTTTTCAACAAAAATAATGGTAGTGTAAATGACAGTGATGGAAACGAGAAACCAGATAATAATATAGATATTACGCCTGATATTGATAGAAAAGATGAACAAAAACAAATCAGAGAGGGTCGCATCTTGGGTTCAGAAACAAGCTTAGTCAACTGGAATGAACTATTTAAACTTCTTCACAACCAATCACAAGAACAGGAAGAGTTACAACCAAGAAGTAAGTAAAATTTAATACATACCAAATATATTATATGTTTTACATCTTACTTATGTCATGCTATCGTTTCAGTGTCAACAAAATCAGAAACGTTACAGAAAATATTACTTGACGATGATGAGGAAGGCGACGGTGTTGTTGTCTTTGAAGAGTTAGATAAATTAAAAGCAAATGATGTAGATACATCCAAAGAGGATTTGGAATTTAGATTTTTAAATCAAATTGAAGAAACGCACGCTCATCCAGTTTATAACTCAATAAGTAACACGAGATCAGTGACTGTTGTAACCGCAAGTATTATAGGTCTAGCATTAGTGCTATTTTTGCTAACCTATGCCGCATTTAAATGGAAGCAACAAAGTAAAATTATAGAGAATAAGCAATGTAACAATGACGATAGGCTGCCTTCGCCTATATTTGAGAACCGAAAGGGTATTCGAAGCAGTACTCGTAGTAAAAGTCCTATGCTAACATCAAACATTTATTCTATTAATACATTAGATACTCATGCCGGAACGGAGTCGCCGGAGTACATGTGGGATTCCTTAAGAAAACCTTTTCAATAAATGGTAAAACATTTAAAGTACACTATAAACCTTGATTAATTTAAATCTACGTCCCTCGCGAAGCTATGAAGCTCATATATGTTTTGGTGAACTTTAGCCCATTTTATGGCTTTGTGGACATCCGAATTGTTATCATTGTTGCATTTGTCATAAGATTAGACTGATTTTAAGCATAATTTATTGTTATGGAAAATAAGTATATTTTTCTTATTATATTTAGAATGTATGGGGTTGTTAATATTATTTAATGGTAATTGGCAATTTATAAACTCAGTATTGAGGCAAGTGCAATAATAGTTAAGATTTGTATAAAATACTATGTATTTTCAGACTTCATCTAATAAATAAGTAGAAATTATTGTTTTATTATTGTATGTACATAGCCATTAAAAAAAAGTTAACAGATAACAATTTTAATTAAAAATACCTTTGAAAATAGGTTTAAGTTATAGTTACAATACCTATATATAATAGAAAGATGGTAGCTACTATTTTTTAACTATAAATTGACTCTTTAAATGAGAGCAAATTGCCCATTAAACTTACAATCATAACAAAAATAGTCTACTTACCTATAATTTTCAAAAGTGAACATTTCCTTTAGATTCTTTAAACCAGGTAGGTTTGCTTTATTTATCCTGTGCCAGAGATAGGAATACTGTCGAGCAATGTTTGTATATAGCTTCAGTGACGACTCAAAAGTTGGTGATGGCTGAAAACATTTTCATATTTATTTAAATTTTTAAATGAGACTTAATAACATCTAAATAATAAATGCAATTTAATTGGACTCATGCTAACACACTGCCAGACGTTTTGGCAAGACATGAGGTTGAAGGTTTGACCCTGGCTTGTGGACCAATGGACTTTCTATGTGCGCATTTAGCACTCACTTGTATGGTGAAGGAAAACATCATGAGAAAACCATCTTGCCTTAGACCCAAAAAAGGCGATGGCGTGTGTCAGGCATAGAAGGGTGATCACCTATTGCTTATTACAACTAAGTACGAAACAGATACAGAAATCTGAGGCCCAGACCTAAAAAGGACCACTGGTTTTTTAATTCAATTTCTTACAATTAGTTAGAATTGGCTTTGAACAATTTGATGTTATTTGTAAAAACATATCTATAATGCTGATGTTGCAAGTTTTATATTCCCTCAAATTGAAATTGATATCTGGATTAGAAGATTGAAGCACAGTTTTAAATAGTTTAACTCATCACAAAAGTGAATAATAATTATTTAATTAATGTATTATTATAAATAGAGAGGGTATTTATATAAACCCTTCACCTAATTTTATTAAATAATTTATAATATACCTTCAGTTCTGCCAATTCTTCTAAATCAAAATATAATACTGTGGAGTATGATTCAGGCAAAGTATCAATGTAGGGTTTCCAAAATGAATCTGTAATTAATAAGAAGAGGTTGGTTAAATTAATATAACAATGTTATATAAAACCTATCAGACTTTAAATAAATTAAATAAAAAACCCAGCAATTATATCTGGATTTAAATGCAACAGATTTTCTTATATCTTGACAATCTTAATGAACTCAATTCCTTTATTACTTATGTTAAGCTTCAGCCTTTCCAAGACTTTTGGTTATAAGAGGAAAATCAAAGCCATAAGAGCCTATCTTGGTCTACAGTTATTGCCCCTAGTGGGCTTTTTGGCTCTATGAATCGGACAGATGAAGAACAAAAATAATAGATTTAATTTGGTGGTAGCACATATTCATAACCAAAGTATAAGTTCAAATGTACCCAACTTATTGACTTAAATAAAAAATAATAATAATAATAACAAAATCATAGACAAATAGTTTATTTGTCTGCCTAATTTAGAATGATTCTTGAAACTGATATGATAGCCTTTATTTGTGGACCATATACAGTGTTTGTTTCTATAATACCGTACCCACCTGATTTACTTTTTTCAAACAACAAGAAAAGTGCTAAGGTAACATTGGGCATGTTATGCATCAGTACATCATCTTTCATTAATTTAGATAAATAAGACTTTTTACAATCAATCTCAGTCATCATAACTTGTTTGGGAATAGTTAAAAGCAGAGAATCCTCCGGAAATGACTTTAAAGCTTTTAGTCCATATTCATAGCCTTCAAATTCAGAAATTTCCAACCCTGAAATATAAAAGTAAGAATGAGAAGAAAATATGTATTACACTAATTGAAAACGGAGCAACAAAAATGGTGAAAATTCTTAAATCTCTTTTCATTAAAAACAAAAATTAATAGCATTGACATTGAACTTTATTGAACCTTTTCCCAAATTTAGAGGATACATAGAGGCACTATAGAATTAATATTCTGAGAATGTTCTCTTCACCTCTTCACTGAATACATTTAAAAATAAATAAGATAATTTCTGCTTACCCTAAATACATATGCATCAACATTTATTGCTAGTGAATTATTAAATTATAATAAAATAAAGTAAGGAATAGTATTAGCAGTGTGTTGGTACCATTATTTAAAAAAAAACAAATTTAGGCACATTAATATTAAATAGTACTAAACAAAACTTCTCTTAAACATCTAAAATAATTTCAATTAGCAATCAAAAACCCTCATTACTAACTTCTGACTAGTTAATTTGTAAAAAAGAACAATGTTCTAAATACTTATTTAAAAGTTATATGAATATAAATATAACAACAAAAGTTTTACTTTCTAATTTTAATACTCATTAAACATACCTTCAAATTCTACTTCATGCTTCTTTAACCACATGACATACTTTTCTATGTTCTCTTCTCTTGATTTTTTTTGCTCTTTGCATGAGCTATGCTCATAGCTCATTATTTCTTTGATAATGGGTATAATTTCCTTATGATTATCCCATAATTTGTTCTGATTAGTCGTACCAAAGAAACCGGTAGTTAAATCTAATAACTTTTCAACTAAATTGCACAGTTCTTTGCGTTTTTGTTGATGTATTTTATTTTCTTTTTCATTTTGCTTACTTTGATGTTTTCTGCCCATAATTCCTGTATAATTCCGACTTTCTGATGTGGCACCCAACAATAGGTATTGAATTTATTAGTTTAATTATACTCAGTAATTTACAAAACGTGGGAAAACTATTGAAAATCTAAAAATAGAGAGCCATTCAAATACCGTACAAATTAAAAGTAAAAAATAACAAGTAAAATAATTATCAATGTAAAATGATATCTGACATCTGACAAGAGTTAACTGACTTGACAACAAGCATTTCTGTAACAATTGACATTCATCGTCCATCGAAAGTACAGGTAAACTATACATCCAGGGGCCTCATAGCCTAGCGGTCTTATTAAGTGGCAGCTAGGTGAGGCTGCTGCCTCGAATTTTGCGGGCAGCGGGGCGGCGGCGGCTGCGGCGCGGGAGCGGGCGATTTCACCTCTCGTTACCCGCCCTCGCGCCGCTGCCACGCCGCTGTTTTCGAGAACCGGTCCATTTGATTTTACGCATAAGATCCTGCCGCTCCCGCGCCGCCGCCGCTGCCGCCGCCGCTGCCCGCAAAATTCGAGGCAGCAGCCTAAGGGGTACCGGGTTCGATTCCCGGTTCGAGGGCAAGTTTTAATTTAATTTAAAATTTGTTCTCGGCCTTTGGGAGGGTTGTGCGGGCGAGTGCCTAAACCGTACATGGAGGACACGGTCGAATTTCTAAAGACAAGCACAAATTATAAAAAATCCTATACTTGACGCTGGCTAATGCACAAATCGTGCCATGGCCATAAAAGGGTGTGTGTACTTACAAGTCCTCGGAAATATCTGAGAACCTGGCTTAATGACGTCATACAAACTGGAGAGATAGCAAAAAAATTGAAGATGTAAAAATAAAAAATATTTTAGTTGTGTACTTATTTTTATTGATACTCGTACCTACCCATCTTACATACAGCACTAAATAGGTAGTTTATGTAATATTTCACCAAACAGAGAAACAATAAACACTAAAATGCGATTACGAAAGCAAGAATAATACACGTGCGGCGTCGGCGATTGCGTTGGCAACGGTACTGGATAGGCGAAAACGGGGCGGGGTGCGGGGGCGCCAGGGGAAGCGCATTCCAGCGAGGTTCGCAGATATTTCCGACGGCTTGTATGTACGCGCGTAAGAAGTTATACTTCTTTGGCATTATTAAAAATAGTTTTTGATTGCATGCAACATGGATTTATATCGTTAGATAGGCCCCGACACCAAAAACTGTGGCATTGTTTTTGAATGTGTGCGTTAACAAAATGCCGACACACGCACACTAATGAGTAGTTTAAAAATCGTGTTTCTGCCCTTGTAATAGGTTGAAATCGAAAACGTTTGAATGTGTGCGTCAACATGGCGTCCAAAAACAGTGCAATTTGTGTAGAAGGTACGGTCCGCAAACACATTAATCTTTTTTTTTATATATTTTATTTATTATATATATTTTTATTACATAGTAGGTAGACTGTATATTTAAATGTAGAGGCGTGATCAAGTAAAAAACACTATAATTTACTAATAATGGCTATTTATTCTCCTTGAAACAAAATCAATTTATTATACTTTTGCCTTTTTGTTATTTTATTAACATTTTTATGAAGATAATGAAGGCGTACACCAGCGTAGTATTTGATAACAGATTTTATCAATAGAACTTTATGGTTCCAAGTTGCCGGTTGCTCCAGAGAATGGTCATTTAAATTATTAAAAACATTCGATTCAATAAACAATTTCAATATTTTAGTTTGAAAAACTTTATACTCATTTTCATTACGTATATAATGATTGCCATTTAGTTTTTTGTGAAGTTTCAAAAGTGATTCAGTTTTGATACATATATCATATACATCCTTTGTGGGAAAAAGCAAACCACCTAAGTTTCTCAAATTAATTAATCTGTGAAAGGTTAATCGTCGATCAGATATTAACGCACTGCAACATGTATGACATTTAATTTTTTTCACACTTTTTTTAACAACCCACCCTGAAATGTATCCGACAATTTGCTTTGACAAATCGCTTATAACATTTTCTTCATCTAAAACTCTTGAGAGAATGTCACTATTTATTTCACATTGTTCATCTTCAGCAGATTGTGACGCCTTCGTCGTTGGGTCAGATTCAGTATTGCACAATCCTGACGTGGTCATATTTATTTTTCAAGGGCTGATGAACAACCCAAAATTGAAAAGTTATCAATTGGCAAACAATTCCCCGTGAAACTGCTCCGTAGTTCTAGATGGCAGAGTGCTTTTTTATATATGCCACGGAATTGTTCGGTGGTAGGGTTATTATTGCGCCCGCCATGTTGCCTTATTAGTCCGAAAAAAAGTTCTAAGTGGTCTTGACTGAACCTGTATGTTGACATGTAATTCATCACTTTATTCTGTTGAACCAATTCTCGGTACAAGTATTTCAAACTCTGAATGTCTATTAAAAACCCAAGAAATCCCATTTTGCATTTTGCTTGCAAGACTAACTTTTTACTAATAATTATTTTTATCCTTCTTCCTCTTGTTCTTTTGACTTGGTTGTAAATTTTAAGTGACTTTATATAATTTTCTGCCTTGTCAAGAAAATTTAATGTTTTGAATTCATTTTTTTCACCAAGCGATCTTTTAAATCCTTGTTTATAGGTTGTTGAGTTAAAGACATCAAACAAATCGTTGAAAGTTTCAAGAAATTCTACAGTTGGTTCTACATTGCTGAACTTATGTCCAGTAACCATCTCTGAGCATAAGGTCAGTGCTTTCGCTACGCTTCTACTTAGTAATTGGCTTGCTAGGTTGACTTTCATTATTTGGTTCCTGAAAGCAATATGACGTACAGTCAATTTGTTTGCGAACTTGAAGCCTTCTGTTTCTTGAAGTTTCTGTAATTTAACCAAGTACAACCATGCAACGCGTCCAGCTTCACTAAACAAAAGTTTTTTGAGTCGAATGTATTCCTCACTAACTTGAGCATATGGCATGCATCAAAAAAAACAGCAACTCGTTTGGTATTGCACGAGGGATGAGGGAAAGTGGTTTGTAAGCTGTTGATGTTCTCAAAATTGCAACCTAGAATTTCGGCTGTTGCTACATTGGCTGCACAACCGTCAAACGTCAATGCAATGACATCGACACCAACGTCGTAACATTTAGTAATACACATTTGTATTAAGCTTGCACGTTGTTCAGCACGTAGGCCGTTTATGAAAAAGTAACCTAATGGAATTTTCCAGTTTTCAGTGCTTGAAACTAGCATGAAAACATAAGCCTGAGTCGCAACTTCATCTTTTGGTCCCAAGCCTTCATCTACAAGTCCCATCGTCTTCCGACCATTCCAGGTTGTCCTTTGACGTATTGCCATTTCGTCAACGACCAATGTCGCTGTAACTGTTTTCGTTTTAGATTTTTGATGAAGTTTTTCAAATGCCTGTTGAGTGAATCCAGGAGAGACATCACTTTTCTCGTACCACTTGGAAATAGTACGCGGATGCGGCAACGTACTGTTGAATTTGCCTCTAACGTACTTGTAGGCAGCCGGAGAATAGTAATGCAACGTTGCGTAAAATTTTCTTAGAGTTGGCGGAATTCTTTTCCTTTTTTGGCGATTGCAAATAAAAAGTCATTGTTTGCCTCCGCAGCTTTCCCTTCTAATTCATTTAAATCTTCTTTGTTAATAATTTTTTTTATATTCAGGGACTTAACTAACTCTCGCAGGGAATTATTTTTGGTTTTAAAATACTTGTTTCTTTTTTTCAGGTTCATATTCTCTCTTCTGCATTTTTCTCTTTTGCTTTTTATAATGTGTAATTGTTTCTTAAGGCGAATTTTTCTCGGTGTATCGAAAACGGAATCTGTATCCGACACATTTATATCGCATAGGGGTGAACTAGGTCTATTTTGATCAGCAGGTAAACATATTGATGATTCCGTTATTGGCCGAAAAGCTGGTATGGCATCAGGTTTTAATTTACGAAGACCCAGTGGCGTCACATACAAATGATTTGCCTCGAAATGTGCTGAGCAAACTTTGCTGAATTTTGTAGGTAGCCACTCTTCATATCTTTTGTCCACTTGTATAATTTTTATCCATTTTTCCTTACACCGTGGGTCTTGGGAAATCTAAAAAAAACTTCATTTTATGTACCCATTTTTACTTATAGCTTTATGAGTAATACCATAATAAAGTATTTTATCAGTAAGTTAAACGCACTCTATCTCAAAAACTGTTGAGCGCATAAAAAATTTTCAAATAAAATTTGTCGCAAAATTTATTTGAAACAATTTTATAACAAATGTAAACATGTTTCGTGGCACCCTGTATTTAATACGCCTACCTACTAAAATATTAAGAAGACAACAACATGGCTGTTGAATCTGCTGACGCTACCGAACTGTCTAAAACGTGTGCAACAAGTGTACTGAGAAAATAGTGTCATCTCTTTTTCTCCTACATTAGTTGCAAACACTACTTTCTCTTTCGTGCACTCGCCATTTAAATTTTTTATTTTAGACAGTGCGGAAGGAAAAATAAAAGTTTTTAAATCAAATCGCAATACTTACGAGTGAAATGTTACACCTCTGGCTTTATTTGTGTTTTTAGAATTGTTGTTGCACTTTAGAAAGGCACACGATGGCATATTGTGACACTAAACTGCTCGCAAACGTCCTTTACAACACGTCCGGCTAACACTGTGTTTAGGGGTGCACTGATCCTAGGTTAGCGAGCTATCTCACTTCGACTGTGCGACAACACGGCGCGGTCTCACTGCGGTAAGGGCATATCTAACGATATAAATCCATGCATGCAAATAATTAATTACAATTAAATAATCAAAGACTGGAAAAGGAGTCATTATAGTCAATTAAGTTCAGTTTACATTTGAAAAATTAAATAAATAATTATTTATTATTATTCTCTTACATTAAGTGTACCTAACATAAATTCTATTTAGTTAAAAGTATATATAATTATATATTTAGAACATCTCTACCAAACACTAAGAAGTATGTTGTAGCTTTGGCAG